AATGCAACTGAACGATTTGATTTGCATGTAGTACTACACGAAGTTGCACCTCGACCACAAGGGCACAGTCAAGGGCTAAGGCATATGACTGTCGCCGCTTAAGTCCTTGTTATAGAAAACTTCCGAGGTCTATGTCGATGGCTCGGAAGATCTGGTGGACGTGCCTCGCCCAGGATTTTGAACCGCAAATGATTGCTAGAAGCCGTTTTCTGCATGACTAGAAATTGATTTCCGTGCGTGGTGCCCAAGCCCAAACGAAAACTCTGTTGATCAATCATAGTGTAAAGCTGTGTGCGACATCCTGACTTTCGGCTTCCAGTAAAGCAACAAGTAGGTGTTCCCACTCTTTGACAAACAAATCTAAACTGTAAAAGACACCAACCGACAAAGGAGCTTGGGGTTAGTTTTTCCAGGTTTACCATATCATGATTGCATGAGTTTTCCTCACGCGTTGTCATTGCTCAATTTTGTTGGTTGCTCTTCTTTTAAAACACAAACTCATGTGAAGTGTCAACCAAAATAGCTTCCTAGATTGGCACTCGACCGTGGAACTAAGAGACAATCTGCAAACCGAGAGCCAGGATGACACGCACAAACTAGAAGTGTACTTTCGAGGCCTTTTCATGCTTGAGAAAATGTCCGCATGGTAGCGGAGCCACAAGTGCTCCAGCGGACCTAGGCTTTAGCTTTGGTAGGTGGCGCCATAGCTTGGCCTTTGACATAGACCAGGTGGAGGTCTTCCTCGATTACACCTTTGCCTACGGTGGTTGGAGAGCTTTTAACATTTGCCCTGAGGAGCTTTGGAAGTGGCCCTACATCCAGGACAAGTACGAGGTTGTGGAGACCATAGAGGGTGACTTCAAACTTCGATGGATGGCTCAGGAGGCCAAGATGCCTATGCCCTGACAGCTGGCATGGCAGGAGTCCCAGAGTTGGCTCAAGCGCTCATCAATGCTGCGCAATCGGCAGCGCAGGCAGCCCAAGCAGCGCAAGCAGCTTCGACTTCGAGCGCGGCAGAAAGTGGAAGTGGAATCCTCAAGAAGGACTTGGCTAAGCTCATCCAAGAGGAGATCGAGCGAATTGAGAGCAACGTGACCAATGAGGTGGACTGGGACCTCATGAGCAAGCCAGAGCAGGAGAGGAGCAGATTTCTCTACAGCTTGCTTGGCAGCCTGGTTCATGGCCGCTTGGTTGGAGTGGTCAAGAATGTGGAGAGCTTTAATGGCTATGAGGCCTTGCGTCAACTTCTTTGCAATTGCCAGCCACAAGCAAGGAACCATACTATGAGTCTTTTGCAGGGGATCATGTCCTACCCGACCTTCAACATGAAGGCATCCCTCTTGCCGCAGGTTCTCAAGCTGGAAGAGCATTTCTTGCAGTACGAGAAGTTGGGAGGCAGTAAACTCTCTTCGGACATGAAGCCCGCTGTCCTTCTTCGAGCGGTTACTGGGCAGATGAAGGTGCATCTGAACCTGACGCTCAATGAGGGCAGCTCCTACTTGAAAATTCGAGAGGCCATTCTGGCTTTTGACACTGCAACCACGAAGTGGAATGAGTCGGCAGCTTTGACCTTTACTACAAGTTCGAGCCCAATGCAATCAGCAGGAGATCCAAATGGAGTCAATGCCGATGGAAATCGATAGGTTGCAGCAGAAGGGCAAAGACAAAGGCAAGAGCAAGGGAAAGGATGTCAAGGGCAAGGGCAAGAGCAAAGATGAGAAAGGCAAGTCAAAAGGGAAAGTTCCAAGTCCCTTTAAAGGTGGAAAGGGCAAAGGAGGCAAAGACCAAAAGCCTGGCATAGGAAAAGGCAGTGGAGGTGATGTTTGCTGGACGTGTGGCAAGATGGGCCACCGCTCCAAAGACTGTTGGAGGGTGAGACAAGTGGAGGCAGCCCCAGCAGCAAGCATCAGCAGCCAGCAGACTACTTCCTTGTCGACGACGGCTACCAGCACTACGGGTGGCACAGAAGCAAACGAGGCTATTCGAAGGGTAGCGATGAGGAGAGTGGCTCAATTCGAGTTTTGATGGAGCAGAATGATGCCAAGAAGGAAGTGGAATTTTCCACATGGACGTCGAGGAGGATGAGCAGATGGAAGTGTGCATGGTGAACACTGTGAGAGAAAGGTTGCCAGAATTGGCCGAAGAGGAGATGTCGGAGTATGGTATGAATGAGGAGCCCATGTCGATTCAGGGGCTGATGCTTCACTGTTTCCAGGTAGCATGACGCACAAGAAGGGCAAGCAGGCTACGGGAGCCTCACCTCCTCTTCAAGATGCCCAAGGGACGCGAATTCAGACTTATGGACACAAGGACATCGACATTGTCCTTGACAGCAGTGATGGCAGAAAGGTTGTCCTTCGTGAACGAGTCACTTTCAGTGACGTTGCGAGCCAGCCCATCATTTCCTTTGGGCGGCTGATGAAGGCTGGATGGTCGATTGATGGAGTTGGTGAACGCCTGAGAAACGGGCAGGTGGAGGTGCCGCTGATGTTTCAGAATCGAAGCTTGGTTGTGAAGGGGTACATTCGAACTGTCCTCGAGGCCAACAAGATTCGCGCGTTGGCGGTCCAGCTTGGTGATGAGCTGAAATCCATGGTCGAGAGTGGCTTTGGATGGAAGAAGCAGAATGGGTTCTGGATTGGAGTTCATTTAAGCAACAACTACCAGAGCCCCCAGTTCATTCCGGAGCTGCGCGCTCAGAGTGAAAAGATGTGTCGATCTACTTTGGTGCAGAAGGGTGAGCGTTGGGAGCTGGTTGAAATGGCTGAGCCTTTGATGAGGCTTCAAGACGAGGAGGAGATTGAAGAGTTGAAAGGCCACGAACGAAGCAAGGTCTTGACTTTTGTGGCTGAAGATGGAAACGATCCTGAGGTGTTTGGCTTCAAGATTGAGGATGACTACGGCATTCCCAAGCCAAGTGAAGAGGATCTCGAGGAGCTCGAAGGCCATCGCAGACGAGGACTTCACGGAGTTCGATGGAGTTGAAACCCCTGGTGGAGATGAGCACCTGGGAGTGGATTTGGACGACCAGAGAGCACACTATGAAGTGGGAGCTTCACTGCCTGAGAACATCAAGGTGAATGGCGTAGAGCTCAATGCAGAATCCCCATTGAGGAATCTTCGAGCAGCTTGTGCCTTTTACAACATTGGCCAAAGTGGTGGAAAGGCCAAATGTTTTGCACGTCTTTTGGAGCATCAGAAGAAGTTGGAGTTGTTATTGGCCAAGGACTTGGCTGCGCAAGGACAAGCGTTTGATGAGAGGATCCCTGTTGAACAAGTCATGGCAAAGGTAAGACACTACCTGACGCATCTTCCCTATGCAGCATGGTGTCCTTCATGCACCAAACATAGGGCCAAGCAAGATCAGCATCGCAGAACGGGGAAATCCCATGAGCAGGGTGTTCCGACAAATTCTTTTGATTTCTGCCGAGTTCGAGCCACAGGGTCTGGTGCCCTGGGGGAGCATGGAGTTGCCGAGGAAGGAGGAGCTCTCTTGCTGGTGGCTCAGCAACGGGGTCTTTGATGGCCCTGCTGCCGCTGAAGACAAAGAATCAGATGTCGCTGATTACACATGAGCTCATGGCTTTCACACAAGTCCTTGGACATGAGCATGTGGTGTACTATGCCGACAATGAGCCGACAACCCGCCAGATGTTAGGACTCTTGGTAGCTTCTCGAACAGCTGCAGGTTTGAAGACAACTTCAAGGACGACCAGAATCTACGACTCTGCAGGCAACAGTTTGGTGGAGAATGCTATTCAACGAGTCCGAAGTTTGGCAGCTACACTCATGGAAGACCTGGCAGGGAGGATTGGACTGAGGTTTAGCTCTCAGCATCCACTATGGAGTTGGGCTTGTCGCCACAGTGCCTGGTTGATCAACAGATACCAGAACCACAAGCTATGAACTGGCGCAGGGCAAGACCTATGAGGGCAAGATCAGTCCTTATGGTGAAGTGTGCCGCTTACACCAAGCCCAAGCAAGGCTTCAAGGCCGATCCCCGATGGAAAGTTGGCATTTGTTTGGGGAAGACTGACCTCCAAGACAACTGGATCATTGGCGATGGGAACCGAGTGTTGTTGAGCCGGTCTGCGAGAAGGGTGGCCAATTTGAGCAAAGAGTCGCTGGTGGCAGAATTGTTCCTTCGAAGAGATTGGCAGCCATGGTTGGAGCTCAGGTGAACGTCGCATTCCCAGAGGTAGCAGATGGTGATCAAGATGCCAAGGAAGTCATTGCTTTCAGCAAATCCTTTGCTGGAAAGGTGGAAGAGGCTCGAGACTTGGTGAGTCCTGAACCAATGTGGGAGACCATCCAGCACCAAGGTGACCATTCTTTAAAGCATTGAGAACCCCTAACAGTAAACTGTTTGGGGAAAAAACTTTTTTTAAATAAATGTACAATTTCGGGTTGATACGGTTAAGCTGGCAATTATAAATAGTTTGTTATTTTTAGATTGCTTTGGGACATCCTTGTCCCTCATTCGAGGAGCAGAAACTATACCATAAAGACTTCAGTTGCAGTGCTGGGATAGTAATTCAGGCTGGGAACCCAGTGAACAGATTCCAAATTCTATTGGTTTTCCTCATCCCCATGCGCATTTATAGAAACTGATGGGATCTGATGGGCATGAGGCTTGTGTGTGTGTCAAGAGCAGCACCAAAGATACTTGTAGCTTCAGCTTTTGGATTTGCAGGAAACACCATTGGTAACCATTGCAATAACTACAAAGTTCAATTATTGGACCCTGGGGTCATGATATACTTTTGAAATATCCTGCGGTCCCTACGACATTGGCGGATGTCTCGCACATGATGTTCATTGCGACCGCGCGAGTCGCACCCTTGGTGCCTGCCACGTCGCTTCCGTTCGCACCACCATCGGCCGGCCGTTCGCTTTTGGAAGACCCAATAAAGACCAGTCGGGAGGCGATTCCGTAGACAAAGCATCCATCGTCCGGTCGTCGTCGTTCGGTGTCCGTCATGTCGGTCGGTCACGGCCAGTGGCGACCGGGCCCTGCCTTGCAAAAGTCGGGGCCCAGAGACACGTTTCTGCGTGGTGCGGTGAGACACGTGGGTTCGGTATGGTGAAGGTGAGGTTCAGAGAACGGTTGGGGACGAGACAATTTGGTAGCTCTTTGGAAGTCTTTTGCTCTGATGCTATTTTGATACATGAAAAAAATATAGAACCAATACAACTTGTTTGTGTATGGATGTTGACTCGATTAGCGACCTCAATGGCCTCCACCAGAGACTTGCTTTGCTTTTTGAACACTCCATTTTCACATTTGCGTGGTACCCTCCCACACTGACGAGAAAAGCGCCTGATCCAACCGGGACAGTCGACAGGTGTTGACCTGATTCCGGGGGTCGACCTCCTCGGGTGCCGTTTTGATGTTTACTCCGGCTTTTGTGGGTCTAAAACTGCAAGATGTTGGTTGAACCCGTGAACAGACCCATGAACATGAACAGAAGGGACTACCTGTTTCAGGCCTGTGAAACAGGTCAAGCAACCAGGGTTTTGATATGTGTTGATGCTCCAGGTTTTGACCCACATCCATTTTTGGTGTTTGCTGGACAAAGAGTCAATAAGTCTATCATATATAATCGATACTCGATCCGCCGATCGACGCTTCTGAACTGGCAGAAGGCAAAAGCAGAATAAGTGGACACCAGATTTGAGGCTGCCAAACATTTCTAAACCCCATCTACCAGGTACCATCGGACCATCTGGGTGTCCGGGCTGGAGGTAGTCCAGCCCACTGGACATCCGGTCTTGGTCGGATGGTCCAGGTACTTTTAGAGCTTCAAAACATCAAAGGAAAACCCTCCATATAGGGGCTGACTTCAGTATATACGTGGGTTGACTAAAGTATGGTGCTTGTACATCCTCAAGAGATTCAGTGGCGCGACTCACGCTACAGATCCAGGCCACGTTGCGCTGCGGGCGTTTGTGTTGGGGCACCCCAGAACGGTGTCGCGAAGAACATGGACCATGGTGGATGGAATCCGGATGGATTTGGATGGATTTTGCTTTGTTTTGATGTGCAGGAGGATGCTGGAGGAGGTGTTTAATGTGTTCTTTAATTGTTTGATACATATTTTGAATCCGTTCAGAAAGTACTTGACATGTTTGACATGTTATTTGTTCGGTTATGTATCACGTATCAGAGTCCCCAAAGCCTGAGGGCAGTCACTATAGGAGCCACCACTGCTCATTAGGCCCGTGTTCGCACAAAACGTGTTGGCGCGGAGGTTACGGCCTTCTGTGACGCTTTTCCATCCACTTCCGTTCGGGGCTGGGATGGGCGATGGAGCAACGAGGATGCGATGGAGCAGAGAAGACGATTCGAAAACGATTCGAAGATCGATTCTCACATGCACCGACCTTGCAACCTTACAAACCCACTTGATCCCAGTGGTTTCCACCTAATCCCAAAACACATCGTCAGACATGAATTCTACGCAATCGTTGACTCATCCGGTCCATTCCCCCTGCTACTCAGAAGATCAGAAGATGCTACCTCCTCAGTGTACAGTGGTTTCAGAGAAGATGGCACAATCCTCAAAAGGTGGTTTATATAGACCCCATATAAAAGACATCTTTAGGTGTGTATGCCATCTATTCTGAACACACTATATTATAGCTGCATCACCTCCTCCCTTTGTTACATCATCAGTGCTACTCGCGTTTCATCCATTGCTAGTAGCCAAGCCAGGTCACAGCGAGTAGCCAAGCCTTTGCGGTGAGCGGCTACGCCGGCCACGACCTCTACGAGGACGGGCGCTGTGGAGGGGGAATGCCATGGTGCATACAGTGCCTGTATACTGTGCCTTCCCAGTCAAGAGTCCAAAGATGTTGTGGGAAATTGGATGCTATTTACCCAGCTCCTTTGGTCTACAAATCAACTTTGACCCCTCAAGACCCCCAAAAAATACACCCAAGCCGCTGCGTGCATGGCTTTTTTCGCGCACACCTGCCACCCCAGTCGCTCGCTCGGAATACCGGTCGATCCTTCGTAATACTAAGACGCTCCCGGTCATGGGTTTTCACCCCTAACTGAGGCCAACCAAACATGGTTTTCCATGGTTTTCCCAAGTTGCTTGGTTTGGTTGGTTCGGTTTGGCTTTTTCCAAACAAAAACCAACCAAACCCCACGAAACCGGCCACCTCCAGCCCTCCCTCGTCGGACCGGACACTCGGCCCCCAAGGAATCCGTGGAGTGGATCGACCTGGGCGGTGCTGAGGCCTTGCTGCGCGGCTGGCACCAGGGCCCGCGCCTGGCGCAGGCGCGCGCCGGGTGCGCGGCATGCTTCGGGCCGGATGGATGCGTCCCGGGGCCCAGAGGTGGTGGAGGTCAGGGGGATGGTGGAGGGGGAGGTGAAGTTGATGCAGATTAGCCGCTGTTTTGGGAGTTGTTCATATCTAGAATCACTCACTTCTCCAAGGAGAACTCCACATGCAGCAGATAGACAGGCAGCTGATGAGCTACAGTAGCTTATGATTCAGCAGGTGTGTGTGTTTTGAAAACACGTGCCGTGCTCGGTGGAAAAGAGATTGAACCGAATCCGTCCACCTTTGGAGGCCTTAGGGATCCGGTCAGGTACGGTGATGTAGTCGAGGCTATGTAGTCGGTGCCAGGAGAGTCCAGTCCTTCTGAGAAGGTATACATACTGAGGGACTCAGAAAGACTTAGATACTCCATGTTCCACCTGCAGAGCCAATATTATCCCACAGGTTGATTTCCACTTGCATCCGGGTTGCCATGGGTTTTTGGCTCCACATCGACTACTCGTGGCCGACTCGCCCCGCACGACGCGCGCCCGAGGTCTGGGTCCTGGGCGGTGGCTCCGACGAGTCCGCCAGCCTGGCGACGTGGCCGGGATCTGGTGGGAGTGAAAGAAGGCATCTCTCTATGGCTAGCTCGGCTCATATTGGTGTCTTTTCCTTATGCACTTATAAGCCGAGCCGAGCTTATAGCCATATTGGTGTCTTTTCCTTATTGTGGATTTCTTTCCCCTATACACTTATAAGATCTTAGAAGTCGCCCCAAGGCAGGCGGTGGTTCTTTTTTTTTTCGGCAGGTGCGAGGGTTGAAAGGTGTTTTTGGGGCGGGGGTTTGCTTGATTTGTATTTTTTCTTTTTCTAAGATATGGTTGGATATTGTTTGGCATGTGCTGGCTATTGGCAAGAATCGCCAGAAATCACCTTCCATACCTATCCCACACACTCGGGACTGCCATGTATGCCATATATGCTGGGTGGTTGCAGGGGTCAACGTATGTAAATATGGCAGTCCCATGAACGTCGTGTCTGGGTATACCCGAACCAAAGAAATCCGCCACACCATGCCGAACTCCAGCGAGCAGCGGCGACCGCGCGAAAACCTCGCTCAACAGAACCGTCGGAAGAACGTTGGACATGGATCCTCCAAGCTGAGTAGGTGCTTGCTGAGTCAGTTCGGGGCGAAAGAAAGCTATAGATGTATAGAGACCCGGAAATAGATAGAAAAGTCGATCACCCTGTATTGGAAACCGTTTCTATCTGGGACCACTAGATGAGGGTCTCAAAGTCTTTTGTCCATCCTACGAAGGTTGGGAGCTGAGCTCACTGAGCTTGGGCTTCACTCGCAACCCTTTGCTGTGTTGCTTCGTATTCTGTTGAAAAGGTCATTCACAAATGTTCATGTCAGCATAAGAACTCCCCCTAAACATCAGGCGATCCGAGGGGTTCATAGTTTCGATTCAATCGGAAAGGACAGAATACTCCCAAACCCCGAACTCGCATCAACTCATCCAAGATCTTGCGTTTAGCTTGGGGGGAGCTAGGGGGGTAAGTCGCATCAACTTGCGTTCAGCTGGTGTTTAACAGGGGATGATTCTCTTTGCATCTTTTTGCAGTTTCTAGTTCAAACACACTTGCTTTGCCTCATCTGCTTGATCCATGGCTCCGGACACTCCTGTGAAGCGCAAACGCTCCTCTTCTCGGTGTTCCTCTCAGAAGGTCGGCTGGGGGAAGTTTAGTGTTGCGGTGTTGGCGTTTCTCAAAACCTATATCGAAATGCATCTGAAAAACCGGCGATTGGGTTTTTTTGCGACGGTAACCGGTGTATTGCCAGACGGTTGCATTCATCGGTGTTTTTCCAACCTGTGGCCGGTGTGTTTTGCGACGGTAAGCTGTCCACGTGTGTTTTTTTGGCGTCGGTTCTCTTTTTTGCGACAGCTTGTGATGTCAAGCGGCGGCAGGACATGAAGTTGTAGCAAAAAGACACAACATACACCGCGCTTGGTGCTGGATGGTTGCTAGTTGGACATGCAACGGGCTGCAGTAGTAGCAGTAGGGGTAGTCGTAAGTAGTAGAAGTAGTGGCATAGTGGTAGTGATAGTGATAGCGACAGTCGTAGTCGTAGTCGTCGTAGTAGTAGTAGTAGCAGCAGCAGCAGTAGTAGTAGTAGTACGTAGCAGTAGCAGTAGTAGTAGCAGTAGTAGTAGTAGCAGCAGCAGCAGCGGCAGGTAGTAGTAGTAGTAGTAGTAGTAGTAGTAGTAGTAGCAGGGGTAGTAGTAGTCGTCGTAGTGGGAGTATTAGTAGTAGTAGTAGTAGTAGGTGCTCTTGGAGACGAGTGGTTTGTATCGCCATGGCGACATACCATCGCCTTGGCATGCCTTGGTAGTGTGCTTCTGGAAGATTTGCATCCAGGGCAAGTTTCGGAGCTGCGGACGATTTATGTGAGGCTGCGTGAGGGGCCGTTGGATCGGTCTGTAGGCTGGGCCGGTTTATGGAAGTAGCTAGGGAACCGTAAATGGTAAGTGGTGGTTATGTTGCCGCAGTCTGTTTGCGTGAAGCGTGTAGCTGTTCCGGAGGATGGTCAGGAATGCAGTGGCCTGGTAGGGGACATGACCAAGTGTTTGTTGGCCAAGATCAAGGAACTGGTGGAATTTGCAGCGCATCAGGCAGCACATCAGGAGGGTGGAAGCTGCGGTGAAGTATTTTCGTTGCAGCCTGGTCTGCAGACCTGTCCAGAAACATGTTTCTACTGTTTTTCGTTTATAGGAAATGCATGTGTTCATTTGCATTGGCTTTTGGAACGTTGTTGCGCGGCATCGTTTTGCGTGAGTCCCCTATCCTTTGCCAGGGGCCAGGGGTTGGAGCATGCCAGCATATGAAGAATCACCTTGAAAACGCTTCAACGTCTTGAGGCTTGGTTGGAATCTTTTTCACGACTTGTCCAGTAGAAAGAAGCAGCTCAGCGACGCTCTCATGCACTTGAAATTGAAATCATTGCACATGTTGAAGGCACTTCATCTCATTTGGTTCTGCCAACAGCCTCGCACTTCGCATACCAGAACACTCACAAATATGACCACGCCATGGCCACACACACTCCACTTGTCTTGAGCCATGCCGAATTCCCGCTTCTGCGCTCGCTGTGGGAAGTCGCTGGGTGGCAGCTCAGCGAAGTTGAGCAAAGATGAGTTCCTTGGATTGAAAAGTAAAGTCGGAAAATCGGGTGTCTACAGGAGTACATCCGAGATTGGCATTGTTTGCGTGGGGCGTGGCACGAAGCTCAAGTGGCGACTTCAACCGTCGTATAAGTTAACCTTGCCACCCTGCGCTTTTCTCGAGCCCTCAAGGCACACTGCCTGGCTGGACTGCGGCTTGGCTCGCGAGTGCGCTGGGCAGCCACGCGCGTGCAAGCAATGCGCGAAAAAGCTGCCGCTGGCGAGGAACTTGAAGGACTTCACAGTGGTCTACGCTGGCGTGCCTTGTCCCACGGATTTTGATGATTCTGCGGGGGCATCGCTGGTATCATTGAAGGTTTCGAGGATTCCTTGGAGAAATTCTTGCGATTGATTTGCTGTTTTAGCTACCATGCATGGTCCGTCTTGAGAGACGGTTACCGTGCAGGAAACAAGTATCATGCATGCGTGATGAGCCATACCATGCTTGTCACATGTCACCAAAGCCAGAGGGGAATTTGGCGAAGGATGGGTGTGAAGTTTGTTGGACACCAGTTTCCAGCCGGATGCCGACGGAAAAAGCAATGCTATCGTGACATGATAGGCTCGAGGAACAGACACTATATGAGGCGTGGTGAAACCACTGCCGCACTTGCAAAGAGTCCCTAATCTTTCAAAACGTGACACTTCCAACCTCAGTTTTGGGATCCAAAACAATGGGTTGGCTATGTTTTGGATTGACATCTGCATAAGCTCGCCAACGGCGAGAAGGAGGGCAAAACGCAGATGTGTGGAACCGCCCCCGCAAGATCTGCATAGGAATTTTTTATGCGTTGGAGGAAGGGGCATGAGAACCTGGACCTGTGCAAATCAATCCATTCCAATTTTGCCAGGGTCGCTTTTGAAAAAGGGCACCCTGAAGATGCAGGTAAGTACGATAAGATTGTGGCTTTGTTTTGACCCTTTCCAAGTCCACAGCGCATATCATCTCTCCATGAAGCGCTTGGCAAACGACCCCAGGGCCAAATTCGCCGGGCATGTTTGGTTCGCCCTTGGTTGGTGGCAGGGGTTGCTTCAAAGCTTCGGAGCTTGAAGGTTGAAACTAACGTTGTCAGGCGGCCTACTTGATGCAGCAGCACAATAGTTTCGAAACTCGTTTGACGGATAAGCTGATTGCACCCCGTGTCAGGCCCTGCTCGTCGTCGAGTCGTTCAAAGGAAATGGGCGATCTTCCAGCCAAAGTTGGACAAGTATCCGAAGATGCTGCAGACGGGCGAGTACAAAGAGTGGAGCGAGTGCCTTGGCTGGTGTCGGTCGTGACGTGTCGCTCTCATGGCCACAGTTCTTTCATCATCGTGTTGCAAGTGCCCTGAGGGCACCGTTTGCGGAACGCATTGCGCGTCGGCGCCGTGCATTGCAATCAGATGTGCGCTGCGGAACCTGCCCTTGACAGTGCGACCTTGGCGCTGTACTACCTCATGGAGACGCAGTTCGCTCACACCACCACTACCGCCAAAATATTTGGCATCTTTTTCCTCCGTTCTCTCTGCAATGATGCTGAGTGCGTGGTAACGCTTTGCAAGAACCACATGCCTGCTGAAGGCTTCATGCGGTTCTGGACCGACACAACGGAAACGAAAAAGAACAAATTCATGGCTAGCAAATTTTCATTGACATCGCGCGTTCGATGTTCCTTCTTGATTGCATCAAGCGGTTTGTCAAGTTCGTCAAGTAGTGGGGCTCCGAAAGTTCTATCTTCCAGACGAATGACAAGCAGCATCGTTGCAAAGACTCAGCTTCTCAGACTCTTGATTCTATCTGAGGAGATCGTCAATGCTGTGTGGTCCAACGGCCCCAAGGGCCACAAAGGCGACGCCTTGGCATGTCGCTTGTCTCACAACTCACCGGGTGTAAAGTGCTCCATCAGGGTAGCAGGCATGCCTGTGTGACAGCCCCGGAGCCGCACTTATAGATTTGATAGCTCCATAATAGTCAAAGGTATTGCTGAATCGGCCCTTCCGGCTGAAAAGTGTCGCTGAGGTTGGCTCCCGCGGCAGTGGTTTGGACAAGGCGTTGACATGGCTGGGCTTTGTTCACGCCAAACTGCGGAGGTGTGGAACAAAGCAGCTCCTGTGCCTGGAACGCACAGATTGTCGTGGGGAGGTTTTGGCTTTCATAGGGCTTGCAAATCGAAGACGCTGAGGGGGCTTGGCCGGTGCGGACAAGCTCTGATCAACCTGGGGGCATGCCTTTCATTGATTGTTAAGGGGCTCTTTTTCCAACGTTTTGACTTGCCTCTGTGTACCCTGAACGCATTTCCATATGGCTGCCTAAGGACAAGGAGAAGATGAACAAGTTCAAAATGCGGGACGGGTTGCGACTCGCCTTCCAGTTCGCAGGCTGTGTGAAGCCT